GATGCTTTGTTTCTTCTTGCGGCCTCGTTGTTTCTTCTCCGCGACGGGGATCTCAATGGTTACCGGCCCGTTGAGCTCATCGCCACTTTGGTATGATTGCTGCACTGCATTGTCGCTTTTCGATCGGCTGGCTTTAGGGGATACCACGGAGGAGAATGGCTCTGTGTCGTGCGGGGAAAAGGGGACAGGTGGGACGGAGCCAGCCCGTCGAGGGGATTTGTATGCGATCTCGGTGTCGATGGTGTCGGCTGGATGGGTAGGGATGTTATTCTCTAGGTCGAAGCTGCCTGATGGGCGGAGGGAAGATTCAAACATGTTGTAGGATGCGCCTGTCGTAACCGAATAGTTGAAGCTCGTGTGATCATTGGGCTTCGCGATTGGCTCGTGGGTATATAGATTTGTTGCGTCAAGCGGGTGCTGTCCGGTTCCGTAGGGCAGAGTGTCGGATATATCAGGCTGCGCTTCAGTATATATTGGTGGTTGTTCCGAGTAGCCATGGGGATGCTCATTAGGAACTAAGGCGATATCGTCATGCGGGGGAAATTCTGCAGCAATTTGTTCCTGAATAGCTGCCGAATCTGTCTCCGCGGCCTCCATATCACCGGCGTATTGATACCCAGCACGTTCCGCATTGTGTGTTTCATCATCATCGAATAGTCGTTGCTGTGCAATTCCGATCTCCGTCATCATTGATCCTATGTAGATATGCTTGTCAGTGGTTGATCCATTATGCACTTGGCGTATCCCTCACCAATCGATCCGCCCCCCGCATCGGCCGGTATCCATCGAGCTTCTCTTCGTTGCTGGGAGGATGAAATCCCATGATGTGCGGATTCTTGCGATTGGAGGAATTGATCGAAATTGACATTCATGTGTGAGTCATGACCGGTCTCATAGGCTTGATAATGTCCTGAACCCGCCCGTATGTCAAGGTCTGTGTTATCGACTTTTGGTCGGGGAGAGAGGGGCCCCGCCAAAGGATCATCTTCATCGTCGGAGTCCTGGATCACGCGGTTGGAGGACATTGGTAGGTTGGTTATACGTCTGAAAAATAGAATTCAAGGAACATGCGATTTGGTATCATTCAATGCTATGAGTCTGGCTGGTTGGTTCACTCGCGTCCCGCAAATCCGGGGAGCGGAGCGACGCGAAAGCACGTGCTGATAAGCATTTGGTGCCTGAGGTATAAGTTCTCACAGGTAATGGGAACAAGCAAATGCGATCAGAAAGCGGAGAAAACGAGAACAAAAGCGAGCATGATGCATCTACATAGAGGTATCTTCCAGTTCATTACATGCCTCATCACTCCATAGTACTTTGCGGTCGCATCACACCCCGACCGAAAAACTCGCTGACCACCCCAAATCGGTCCTTAGAGCGTTGCAGTTCACCCTTGAACAGATCGTGCTGGTCTGCAGACTCGACCTGTCTCTTCCGAATGGCTTTGATAGTAGAATTCTGCGGTGCGCAAGCAGGACATTCAGCGTCTTCGTCCACTCGGTTCAGACACCGTTGGTGGAAGGAATGCTTGCAAAGGAAGTGCACCGTAGGAAGGTCCAGGGCGCCGCCACAGGACATGCATCGACGGGCCTGGAAGACAACAGGCTTGCTACCCAATTGTTCAAGCTCCTTCCTCTTGTTCTCCGTTTCGGTGCTGTAGCTAGATATAAGACGGCGGTTCTACATTATCGTTAGCTGGAAGAAGTCAATGAATACGGAGGCAACCAACAGTAGAGATCTCCTTTCGTTCCCGCTCAATGTTGTCACTGAGGTACTTCTTCAAGCGACCCATTGTGACAACTGCATTGTTGCTCAAAGTTTGAATGACTTGGAGTGGCGTCATGAGCCCTCCTTCGTCAATCTTCTTGAGCACGGCGTCCAATTCATCGCCAGCTTCTTCCAGAATCTGCGGGCTCGAGGCGAAGTACGTAAGTGCATCCACATATAGTTGAGGCTTCTCGGGGCCATATCTCTTCAACGCTTTTATGGCACCCTGAGTATCCTTCGCGGAGGTGAAAGACCTGAAGATGTCTGACAAGAGGCCTTCTTGCTCTCGTACGAGCGTGGAGCCCTCACGGAAGCCAGAAAGATCAGAGAGCAAAAGGACACTCGACGTGGAAATTGGTATCTGAACGGAAATTAGCATGATTCGGCGGAATGAAACAAGTGGGTCTCCCTACATCCTTGCCTTCAATGAGCTTCTTTGCTTTGTCCTCCCATTCAACCTTCTGCGCGGCATCCTTCTGCCGGCTTGCGGTATCCAGGTACATCTCGAACAAAGTCGTGTAGAGGTCTATCTTATCATCCTCTTTCAAATTATCCTGTTGAATGAGAGCTTCCAGGAAGGATATAAATTCATCCGGATGGCCCACGAACGCCGAAAATGCTGTCCTTGGTTTGGGTATTTGATACTCCACCAACTCCTCGGTAGCCTTGTCTTCGGCTGGCGGTGCTTCTACTTCCGGCTTTGAGCCCGCGCTAGCGTTAATCAAAGACAGGGGGAGGAACGCAGCTAAGCTCTGCAGGGTGCTGGTCGGCTGTGCTTGGTGTTCCATGGACGGTGCTTCAACTTCGGTCTTCGGAGTATATTGGCCCTTATAGTACTTGATGAAAAGCTCTGTGGTTTTCTCCGGGCAATTGGATAGCAATACTCGGGCATATTTCATCAAATTGTGGTATGCCTGAAATTGTCAGTGATCACAGTAGGGTTCGACCGATGAGAATGCACAAACCAATTCCGGGTCTAACCTCCAGATGTACTCGACAGCTTCCGCATACTTCTTGGAGTCCTCGATCAGGATATCAACCACCATATCATTCTCGCCATACTTCGTAGCCAAGTACGCAGCTTGCTCAAAGTAACCACCTTGCCTACACATAGCGATTGCAGTTTCCAGGTCAAACTTCAGCTCACCAGGAGCTTTGATGAACGCATCAAGTTTGCCAGTGTCCTTCAGCTTGGCGTAGCAGTTAAGGAGCAGCGTGGTATGGTCGACTGTAGCTCGGTCATGATCATGAAGCTCTTCAAGATACTCGATGAGGTTATGTATCCGTTGTGTGTCCAGGTACTATGCAATAATCAGCTGCATGTTCCTCTACTAATGGTGCGGAAGATCAAACCTTGCGAATGACCTGAGAAGGTTCCGTGTTGTCAATCGCTCGAAGATATTGTTGCATTGCCGTGTCGTAGTCGCCTCTCTGATACAGAAAATCACCGTATTTCCGGTAGATCGCATTCTGCTGAAGTGTATCAACGCCCGTTTTCTGTGCCAAGTTGATCGCCAAAATGTAGAGGTTGCGCTGGTACAGAATTTCAAGCTTCTGTTGAAGGCTTTTCTCGCGATACCGATATAACTAATTCGTGTAAGCCACAGCTATAACACTCGGTGGTAGAAACATACTTTTCCGTCCGTAGTGAGAAGAAACAAATCCCCCCATTCCACGAAGATGTTTTTCACGGAAGAAACGAGAGACTCGGAGTGCGCGATGAACTTCAAATCAGTATCGAGCAGGGTGAATGTGGTCGTCTTGAATATGTCGTCTGCCTGACCGACGCCCATGTTGCGCAGAGTGTCAGGCTTGGTGGTCGTATCTCTAGGCGGGCAAACCAGAGCCACATAGTCTTTAAAGGTGGTGATGGAGTCTTTACGACTCTCAAAGGCATAACTCGGGCCGCGGCCGTGTGGTCCGTACGTATATATCGCATCCTCCCGGGCAACCAGAACGTCGCCCGTGTCTCTGTCCAAACTCAGGCAACCAACAGCACATCCCATATCATCGAGTACGCGGGCCGGTTGTCCCTGTCCCCTTCCTGAGATAACCAGGGCCAGGATGCGATTCGTAGTCGAAATATACAAGGTCGATACTGGGCCGCTCTGCACCACCAGTCCCGTTATTGGTTCCTCCGATTCAAACACAATCCGCTGCCGGGCGCCGCGGTCGTGGATCAGGTCACCGCGAATAATCGTGACGGATCCGTTCGCGAAGCCAACTGCCACCTGCGATAAATCATCGAGTGCCGCGAAAGCAGATACCTGCCCCGCATTCATTTAGTACCAAGCCGAAAAGGAAGGTGGTGCATTTCGAGCTATTATACGTACGGGAAACATTCGTCTCGCGTTCTGGACATGCGTCGTCGACAGGCATCGAGGGGCACCGGTCTTCTTTTCGGACTTGTCGAGGGCCCAGACCTTCAGGGCTGCCTCACTGGGGAGATCCTCCGTTATTGTTACCAACAATGATGTGCCTTCTATCTGTTTAATGTGTGCGATCGAACCAGTCTCCGATGCCCTGAACGACCGGACAAGCTTGAAGTTTGTCGAGATGATATGGACAAAGCCATCGCTGGACCCGAGGAAGATGTTCGCAGAGCCGGTGGAGAGGGAGATAATATCAGACTATGGTCATTCCGAGGTTAAGTGTGAGCGTGACGGACTTGTGTAGCGGAGAGGCCAAGGGAGGGGGTACATTGAAGATCGAGGAGCTCTCCTCCGGCAGCTTCACTGCGGAGACGTCGGAGAAGTTGAACGCTTTCCACTATTTCCACGTGAGTCGGGTTAGTTGTGACCCGGTCGCAATTCGCATAGAATGGTTGTCCTTACTGATGTCAACGCCATCTGGACGTGGCCCACCCGTGGACCAACGACAATGATAGCAAGGATGCGCGATGAGGAGCAAGCTGCGGTGACAGTTCGGCGGATGCTGGCAGTGGATGAACTCCGCCGCACTAGCGCCGCCTTAGTCCCTTGGGCCTCCCGACGTCATCCAATGTATGGAGACAATCTAGCACGCTTCAACTAGTTCATGTAAATTTTATTATCAGAGAAGCTGCTAACCTCTTATGCTCGAACTAACATAAGACTGGGAACCAAGGCAAATTAAATGCATTGTATGTCAATGTCGAAGACAATTGGTGGAATATCCAGCCAAGCATGTGACATACGAATCCGGCCAAAATATATTCAGGAAGCGCTCCTCAATTACTAACTTGACCACCCACCATGGAGCCAAGGCGACACTTGTACCGGCTATATAAACACTGCCATCTATCTTTTGCAGACCAAATTCTTCATCAATTGCGAGAAGATCATCAAAGGTCGCATATTCAAGGCGATGCGCGCACACTATAACTCTCTCACAGAAACCACGAGTCTTCCCTGGTTCGGGATGGGAGAACATCGACCCTTCTGTTCTAACTGAAGAAGAGAGCATTCCAACCTATAAGCCCGAGAAATTCTATCCCGTCCGTATTGGTGAAACTTTTAATCATCGATGTCAGGTTGTTGGCAAGCTTGGCTATGGTTCAGCTGCGACTGTGTGGCTATGCCGCGATCTCTTGTAGGGCCTACTGCTTTATCACACCGTGAACTTGGGCTCATTTAGATAGGGGCCATTGTTATGTAGCACTCAAAGTTTACATCACCTCAACATCTGTTTCCCAGGAACTGCAAATCTATAACCACCTAAAATCAATCCGATCCGACCACGCAGGCCAGTCATGTCTGCGGCCGTTGATTGAAACGTTTCAGATTCTAAATCCCGATGGACATGGAACTTATACATGTCTTGTGCATCTGCCGTTAGGCATAAGCCTCGACCAGCTCACATCACTTCTCCCTGGTAAAGTCATGAGCAGCTCTATGGTGAGAACTACTATGCGAAATATCCTCGCGGCTCTCGACTTCCTTCATACCGAAGCACAAGTCATACATACAGGTCAGTGACTCAATTTCTCACGCGAGCTATCAACCGGTCACGGTTAGACTTGCTCCTGCGCAAGATTGACTAGTTTTGCAGACATCCAACCAAATAATATTCTTCTGGGTATCAAAGATACTTCAATTTTATCGCGTTTTGAAGAAGCGGAGGTTGAAGCCCCTGTACCCAGAAAGTCTCATTCAGATCGTACAATCTACGTCTCACGACCACTCCCTATCTCTTTTGGCACCCCTGTGCTCTGTGGCTTGGGAGAGGGTCGATTGGGAACAGACAACCAACAGGGTGATATCATGCCGGATATCTATCGCGCACTGGAAGTCATTCTGAACATGAATTGGGACAAGAAAGTTGACATTTGGAATGTCGGGATGGTGGTAGGTGACTTGTTAGCACGGTCACGGTGTTTGATGGAAAGCTGACAGTAGCCGAAGATTTGGGATCTTTTCGAACATCGTCACCTTTTCAAGGCCCGAAATGACGAGGGAAAGCTAGATGATGGTCAGCATCTAGCAGAAATGCAAGCTGTTCTAGGAAGGCCTCCTGCACAATTCCTCGCTCGAAGCGAGAGGTCGCCCCAATTTTGGGATGCCAACGGTTTGTACAACCCTTCCATGCCCGAAGCCGTCATGTAAATGCACTAAAAGTAGTAACGCCCTTCTCCCTTCTAGGCCAATGGAAAGGTGCAGTTCCGATTCCGGATTACGATCTCGAGACTTTGGAGGAAAGACTTGAAGACGGCGAAAAGGAAGATTTCTTGCGATTCCTCAGGCGCATGCTTTGCTGGTTGCCGGAAGAACGAGCTACTGCAAAGGAGCTGTTGTTCGATCCTTGGCTGATGCACGGTCTTTTCAGATAAACTTCGGGTATCGATTCTTTGTCTTTTTTGACACCTGTATGTACCCATTTCCTTGTGGCCCTCTCGGCTGGCCGAGAGTAGTCCTACCCAAACCAACGATGAGTATATTGGTCATTGGTATGGCTGGAACCGAAGGATATCTGCTGGCGGCTACATATGCATGTCATAAAGTACGGCTGAGTTCAAACCTGCGCATCAACGCCGGTCCAAGAAGTGTACCACAATGATGCATGGTATTTGTTGTGTGCAACAAGGTAATACGGCTAGGATAGAGTGTAAGCCCTTTTCCCATTTCACCCCTATATCATCCTATAATGAAGACGGAGAACCCCCGTAAGAACCTGGAAGACATTCCCCGCTGTACGGCAAGAGAGAGGCCAGCCTACTGTTATCCATAGAAACAGTAATCTACATGCTAGTGAGGGGGTTTCTATGGCTAGCTAGGAGCAAAATAGTTTGATTCAATACCATGGGTCAACATTTTGGAAAGGCGATCACTCCATGTCTCTCATGACCCACACGTGTGCTGCAACGAAGTAGGGTTATGCATATAGAATTATTGGGCAACGAGGATCAACGCATCGTGACCGATGCTGGCTAGCAGTACAATCGTGCCAGTGGCAGCGAGGCCTTAGCATGGCCCGTTACTAGTAACAAAAGCCTCCTGATCCAGGTAGTTGATGAGTCGTGTAGTAATACTAAGTTGCGCTATCCCGAGTCTTGTTTTTCACATATGATGAAAGGAAATTCCCGCCAGCTGAGGATGTTGGCTATCAACGACATGAAATTCGAATAGTTCCATTGGAGAACCCTATGCTCGCACTGGGTAAGGGTCATACACACAGTGTTCAACCATGTGAACAAACCGGAGCCATCCGCACACCCCAGGTTATGCATAATATACTGGGTGAGTCGCGTAACTAACATTCACTATTAGCACAACGCACGCATGCACTACCGGTTTCATAGTAGCAGGGTAGCCCTCAGAACTCATTCCGATTGGTTATGAAGGGCATCCTCCCTCCGCTGGCCAGATTTGCGTGCAGCTGTTGACAGGCACCCATGAGCGACTTGGGGCTCGGATCTCTCGGTAAATGCTCTCTCAAGTCGTGGCATAGAAGAGGGACAAAGACTGAGCCTGTCACCCATAATGGCACACTTCCTATGCATGTCGCTCATGGCCTCTAAGGGATCCGAGAATAAGTCCCGAGACCTTTCATGCTAGAGTATGTGCACTAAAGCATAGCCCCATAATTCAGATAGATCAATAAATGGGATAAGTCTTTGCAGATGCCGGTCATATCAGATAAAGGAACTTCGCTATGTGAATGGGCAAATCCGCTTCCTTAATGCCAAGAAACATTGTCTTCATGTTTCACTTCCAGGTATGCATCCATATGACAACGACCAGACAGCTCTGTAATGTCGTACTACTAGTAGGCTTCCACTAATGAATCAATATCAAGCATCTCACCAGATGTCTCACATGTTACTCAGTCATTTCTTCCTGGTCTTACTTACCTGATTGTATCTGGAAATAGCCGACCCATTCTGACTAGATCGCTGATACAATCAAGATTTCCATCACCTTTTCCAATCTTTGTGTGAATACGGATCCTCCTATCCATTTCTTAATCTATTTTCTCTCTCTCTCTCTCTCTCTTTTCTTTTTCTTGTTTTCTACTCTGAAGTTGTCATGGCTCCTCTCGACGTTGTAAGAAATCTTTACTAATGCCTGCCTTAAGCGGGAGATGCCAGTCACTACCCTCCATTAACCGATGAGTACAGCAGCAATCGCATAAGTGGGTGGACATGATGTAGGCTAGACTCCTAAAGCTGAGTTTATAAATAGCAAGTGATCTGTTCCAATAAGTACTGGACTTCCTGCCCTCTATGTCTGTGTCAACTTGACGAGCCAATTACTATCTACTAACAAACCATTCACATTGCACAAGAGTTCCACAGAAAACAGACTCTTTTTCGGACGCACAAAAGACAGCTCGCATCTCACGGACACAACCTTGCATTGCACACGCAGCAAACTACGTCAACGCACCCCACTATCTTGCTAGTTCTAGAGTCTTACATGCCCTGCCCAGCAGCTGACAGGTCATTGAAGCAACTGTGATTGTTTTCTCATTAGTGTGGCCATCATATCATTGCCATCCAGGCTCGCTGATAATGATACTGGAACATCATCCTGCTACTCTCATAGCCCGAAGATATCTTTACGTCACCATTTATGCACAATGCCTTCAGACACTTGTACGGCTAGCCGCATTCTTGACAAGCTGCACGAGCACGTTATGAGAATTAGAAATAGTGTGCCTGAGAACGGCCATATAGATTTACATGATCTAGACAGTGTTGAACACGTGATGAACTTTGATTTCGAGCACTTGAATGAGAAAGCGGTTCCCCCTCTTTACTTTGAACCCATGCAGCCAGTCGAGTTGAAGCAGTTCCCACCTGATCCAGCACAAGTGCGCAGTTTCTTCGACATAATCGAGCGTGGCAACGATGATTCCAGCTGTTGCCGCCAAATTTCTGACCTCATCTCTGACTATGCAACCCGCAACGCATTGTCTCACCAACATCTTCAGATTGTGGAGTAAGTCCTTCTCAATTGACTCGCTAGCTGATCTTCCCTAACACGGCTTCTAAACCAGGGCACCTGACAGTACCTTTTACTTGGAAGCGAGCCTCGCATGGCCTTACAGTGGAAGAGGTTGGTGGGAAGTTTGTTATGTGCTAGAGCCAGAGCCCATGAATGGAAAGGGCTATCCCCATCTAGCCCTTCACCTCCTTGACAGAACGGTAGCTCACGAGGACTCAATTCTCTTCTCGGAGTTCAGTGCATTGGTTATTGCCATGCGAGGGCGTGTACACCAACCAAAGATAGATTCGGAGTCAGAACGGGAAGAACTTTATGAACATGAAGACGCTGGTGAGGAGTATACAAACTTCTTACCCATGTCCTGCTCAGCCATGTTTCCTGATGAGGAAATCTTTCCTGTACTGCTCATCTCTTGTGTCCTTCCACAGCATGCAAGGATATTTGCTGCATGCATTCATCAAGGGAAGCTGGTGATTAGACAGTCCAAACTCTACAGCTTTCAATGGAGGGACAAGGCACCAGTGGAGTTATTTACTCGACTCTTCCTCAGCAGTCCTGTGGACACCAGGGGCGAGACCCATCCCGAGTTGTTTAGGGCCAGTAATATACCTCTTGAGGCAGGTAGCTAGCCGCCCCCCCTGCACGTTTCTTATGCACCTACCTTCACTGCACTGTCTGCGTTTACTTGCATAGCAACGTTGGGGGTTTGAAGGGGTAGTAGGCTCTTTCTTCCCTTTTGTTTCTTCATTTTTAGTATTAATAATTGCTGCTTTCTCTGTCTGTAATCAATGACTTCTCTTCCTCATCAAAAGCCATCTTTTTTCATATCTTCACTGTATCTTCCATGTCAAGCCAAGGCCTTCTCTCATATAAAATTATCAATCACTGATGATTATGTGGATTTAAAAATGCCATCTGCGTATCCGAAAAATTCAGACGAATGGATAAAGGCAGCGAGGGCCTACAATCTCACCGGCAACACCTTGTGCACCTGGTCTAATCTCCTTTCCGGGTCCAAAGTGTCCAAAGAACAATTTCTCTTGTACCCCATTGTCTGCCCCGAACGCAAGAAGCCGAGAGAATTAGATCTCACATGGTTTGGCGTACCTCATAATACCATTGCCGATGCCCAAGAGATGCTCAACCAGACTGATGCCTATCGGCATTACCTTCACAATATCTAAAATGGCGACTGGGCTAACCCGGCTTTGGGGGTTTTCGGGCCCGCTCTAAGGCTCCAGGCAGAGATTTGGAAGGGATGGAATTCTACGAGAGTAGACGCAACTGATGAGGATACTGTGAATTCCGCTCTTATTGAGCTGCTCAATGCCCTGACCTCCACAAGCACTGATGGAGTTGCTGGTGGAGGACATACAAGAGGCGGTTGACATATCAAGCATATGGGAACAGTTACACGGCCGTAACGGACGGGCAGTTGGAAGACCGACAATCCCAACGCATTAATCTGCCAATTGAGTGTAAAGGCTTTCTAAGGGACCGGAGACTCTCGAAAGTGACGATGCAGGAGGCGTCGCAGCTGGTTGCTCTGGTCAACCAGCAACCTGGTCAACCAGGTGCCGATGACATGTACCGGTAAGTGTCATCCTGTATGCCTACACTCATCGGCTGCCAGGCTAACAATTGCAGTCACTACCTGGCGAGCCAGTGTGGAACCCAGACCTTTGTCAACTCTCTGGTTTACCAGAAGAAATGGATTGATTACCTCCAAACTGGGCAGAATACAGATGCCTTTGCGACATTACAGTCTTACGGTCCCTACTATATCGACAGTATTCGTGATGTCAGCCGGTTCGCGTTAATAATAGTGGCACTATCGTTATACCTCTCTTAAGTGTTGATCTACCTGTCATTACACGGCTTCTGCCGCTAAGGGAGTGGAAATCGAGCAACGCATTAAAACAACGGCAAGGTGTCAGATGAACCCTGAAACTCGACAACGGGGGGAAGAACATGATCAAGAAGGCACAGTCACAAAGAAGCTGCCAATGCAGGTATTGGTTAACATCGTCGTGATGTTCATGCTTGCCTTCTTGAGCCCGACAGGGGCGAGGGATCGAACAATTGCTCCAATGGTCTCAAGAGCCATCTCTTCTACTCTTCTTGTGGGGGTTCGTGATGTAACAAAGGATGTGCTGGCTGGAGTTGTATTGTACCCATTGTTATTGCCAGACAGACTTTCTTTCTTGTCCGGTTTCAGGAATATATACACACGTACGTACCCGGGGCAGTAAGGAGACTTAGAGGAAGTTCATGGTTTTCTTTGTCGTCTTGTTTTCTTACCCTTCTGTTCTTCTGCTCTTTTCTCTTTCCCCTTCGTTTTGAAGAGATGACCACCCATAGACTACTACTACAGGCGGATTTGTGGTTAGATGGCAGAATATAGAGCCATTTAGAAGACGCTGCTATTGTTCAATCATAAGTTGCTAATGCAATGGTCTTTTTCACAAATCAAGCATATCATTTTCACATACTAGTAGTATATTGTAACTATCGAGAGCTCTAGTCTGTTTGGCTCATAGCCCAATGATACAGCCAGATAGTACCTGGCAATATGTGCAATTTGCGTCGCCGGTGCACAATTTGCAGACAGGATCATGTAATTGTCCATATGGAAATAACATACTATATACACAAGGTATCAAAATGTACTGGCCCTAGCACAATAACACACTGTCCAAGCTGAGCTGACCTAGTATAGTTCCAGACTGTAAAAGCAAATACAAAGAAAGCCACGTAGACATATATATATACCCACCCCGTACTAAACAATTAAGGTAAAGGAAACAAAGCCCGATACGCCTGCTATGCATGTAATAATTTCCGCCCTTCACCTATCCAACGTTACCGCAGAGCGACTGATCCCCGCCGAAGACGACGGTCTTGACTTAGCGCTGCTCCTGCACTGCTGGATTTCATGATTGATATCGAAGCTTTGCTGTAACCAGCTCCCCGCGTCGGCAATTGCCTGACTTAGATTGAAGCTGTCCGGACCCGGGGCGACACCTTGTCCGTCTTGGACGGTGGTCGGATGAGAATGTGATAGAGCCATCGGCAATGCGCTGCCTTCTTGGGTGTCGTCTGGGGTTTGTTGTTGGGCGGCAGGGGATTTGTGCGGGAGGATGGTTGGGTCTTCGTCTTCATCCTCGTCTTCCGATTCCGAGGACAATGGCGAGCCTGTGTTGGGGGTGGCAGTCCCTCGGTCTATCCTACTGGACGATGGCATCTGGGGAGATATGAATCGGGACCTGGCTTTCTTTTCTGTGCTGAAGGTGAAGGGCGTGACGGCGTCGATGATGCATTGTGTGCTCATTGGCATATGTGCAGTTCCTGGATGGATGGCTCGGGAGTTTTTACCGATTCTGCTATTGTTCATTCGATGGAAAGGGGTAATGTCGTTGGCGGGTGATGAAGGTTGATTATGAATTTCTCCTGGGTTGGGGACTTGACTCTCCAGATCATTTTGAAAGGATTTCTGCGCGTGTAATAGCGCTGCCTGCGTGTTGAAATGCAAATCTGGAATGGTGTCGTTGTCGCATTCTGAATTGGGTTTCACTGCGGAGATCGTCTGCAGTGAGGTAACATTTTCAGCCAGAGCTGGATTTACCGACACTCGCTGGGCGGAAGGGTATTTATTGCTGATATTGACACCTTCAGCAGTGGTGGTTGATGATACCTTCCGTGATTGAGAGTTTCCCTGGTGATCAACAGTACCAGAACGTTCGGATACATTTGGATGGTGCGGATTATCCTGGTTCATGTGCATATCGACTTCAATGGCCTGCATTGAAGTTGTGTTTGGAGGTACTGGTGCGGGTTGACTCGAGACCCGGCTGTCTTCGACAACAGTTGTTTGATGTGAGACCTGTTCATTCTCCATCTGCATCGGGACTGGCGATGTGGTGCCGTGTTCCGGATCAGCTGAGCGTTTCCTACGACGAAATTCGAACTTCGATAGGTGGGACGTTGACGAAAGTACACATATTGAGTTCTCATGGTCCTCCGTCTCCGGTCGAACTCCAGGGGGTCTGCTGGTGAGTTGAGCTTTGACACTGTCTGGAACATGGCTGTCAAAGGTAGTCCCGTCTCGGGAGTCTGTACGTGCTCTCAATATATTCTTCGTTGTGACTCGATAATCTGTGCCCGGAACTTGTATTGTGTAATGCCCTCCCTCCCGATATCGAGACGATACTGTAGTTGTTGGAGATGTAGGGGGATCAACTTTTCGAAAGTTGATTTCTGCGCGGTCCCTCTTCAACCAGCTCTGCTCTGTGTGCTGGAATGGGGTCAACGCATCCGAATGTCCACTTGTCTCGATTGTCCTCTTATGCAGTGCAATGGGTTTTGGTGTATTGTTCGAGCTTGATGTCCGACCACGACTATCCCGTGGCCGTTTGGACGACGGTTCCGCCGCAGTGCCACCTTGAGACTCTCTTTTCTTCGAGGAATATGTTGGGTCGGACAGAGGAACAGCAGACTTCGAGCGAGATATGCCTAACGATTCACGGTATAGGGGCCGCTTCTGCGGGATCGTCTCTGGGATAATTGGCCTTTCTGAGTGCTCCGAGTGTATCCCTACATGACCACCACCAGTCTTTTGCCTGTCTTTCTTCCAGGGGTTGGCCCATCCGTTGTCGAAGGGTCCGCGAAGCGAAGCGGACAAAATGAAAAGTGGGGTGCCATGGCAATAGGCCTGAGCCAGCTTCTCTATGCGCTGATCCCGAGCCGCCCGGTCATCATCATCTAGATCATCGTCGGAAGCGATAAGGGGATCGGAGTCGAGGTCTGGCGGGGAAGGCGAGATTGTTTCCAACGAGAGCGGGGAAGCGGGTGGACGGAGTGGCATCGGGGAGACAGCGGTGGTCGGTCGGGGAAGAGGGTGAGGATGGCAGGGGTGCAGCAGTCTGGCGCCGACTGCATCTGAGCTCGAGCAAAGAGGAATGTGGCGGGATAGATCCTCATATCTTCTGGGGCAGGCAGATGTCAATGTCAGGCATCATCAGCAGCATCATGCATGATCGAAGTTGGACCGATGCGGTCAAGATCGCTTTCGCGGGCAAAAAAGCACTTAACGCGTCCACCGGCGCGGCTACCCCAGCAACGGAGGTCTCAGCTTTTCGGTAAGCCCCGGGTTAGTTTCATCATTGACTAGAATAGTTATCTCTTTATGACTGTTCTTATCAAGAATAGAAGTTTGGCTGGCTACGGATCATATACAGCTCATTGTTCGGTTCGATTTAGAAGCCAGCGCGAGTGAAATAAATGGTTGACACCCCCTAACACTTACTACTTACTAACGAGGTCATCTGATCACCATCTTGGATAGGGAAAGTGATATTCACTCCGGTCTAATATCCGGTCTAATAAATTGGTGCTAGTTCTGGCATGCGACGGGAGGACTTGGAGCCGCAGTTGCAGATCTAAGTATAGCTGATGCGGTGTGCAGTGTAGTCTTTAGCCAGAGGCTGACAATGCCTCTGGGTGACCAGTTGGAGATGCAATTCGCTGTTCGCTGTCAACGACGAGGCTGGTGTTTACTACGCCCTTGACCCAGAGGCTGGGGACGAAGTTAGACAGATAGCCGCGCCGTTGTGAACAGGCTCCAGAATAGAGGAGAAGACTATACGAGCCATGCTGGAACTGGTATGGTTCTCGCAGACTTTCGATGACGGAGGATTTATCCGCTCTAGACGGGCTGACGCGGTCGTAAGTTCTACTTAATTTGTGTTGTATACTATAAGCCACTTGCAGTGAGGCTCAGACAGTGTTCTTTGTATGCCATCGTGGCATTTCTCCCTGAAAGACACGTACCTCTCCTCAACATAATCTACCCATTGGGGAGAATAATGGATGACACCAGGCTGCTCCTCCGTACACATCGCAAGGTCTTCCGGTTCGGGCCAGCCAAAGGATTTTACCAGAATCCGAACCTCCGCACGGAGCAAGGGTGTGGCGGTGGTAGCTTATCCCGGAACCGAAAAGCCCCTATTTAGGGGAATTTTAGTTGCACGGAGATCGGGGACTAGACTAGTAGTACACAATCTTGCTTCAGATCCAAGGGAGCCTCGATGGGGTCGGGAAACCTCGAACCGGTCCCCCAATTCGGTCGTATTCGTTCCGTTGCCCAGATCCTGGAAATTGCAGACCAGAAGATACTTGTGTTGTTTTTGGGTATCCCAACTACAGGAATTTGATGCACTACACATCTAGTGTGTATGCGTGTATGCGTGTATGTGTGTATGTGTGTATGTGTGTATGTGT